GGAGAACCCCCTAACCCCCGTGCCCGCCTAATATCAGCGCCGGTACACAGACCGGCACGTCCCCCGGTAGGCGGAGGGGCCCTGGGAAACCCCCGCCAGACCTGTGTTGCCTGCCCACTGTCAGAGGGAGGCCCCATCCGGGACACCCCGCGCCCCAGATCCCGGAGATCCGCCGCGGTGCTCCGGAGCGTCCTGCGCCCTCTCCCGAGGCCCTCGCGGGGCGCACTGCGGGAAGCTAAGGGTACTGTGTCCTCCCTATCCGGCGACAGGCGGTCCCTCTGGGCCCTGCGCCAACCCCGAGCCTAGTGCTCACCCAAAAGGGATCCAGGAAGTGCTGGCTAAATGCATGTGGTGCTCGCGTGGGTGGGGAGCTCGCGTTGTCACGGGTGTTCTGGGTGCCACCCCGGCCGCTGAAGCCAAAGGGATTTTATCGTTGTGGATTGAACCAGCCAGGGCCCCTCAGGCAGTGAAGGGTCCAGTCACTTGCTGCCTCGCTGGGCAGGAGGCTGGCTGTCTCCCTTCACTCCAGGAGGAAGACTTGAGGCCACTAGAGGGCGCCCCATGCAGTCCAGAGTTGGGGATACAGAAGCCCAGAACACCCCCAGGAGATGTGGGAAGGCCCTGGCTTCCCCCTATCACTTGGGACTCTCCATTTTCATGGTCCTGACCATCGCCAGGGCTGGCTCGGCCCAAGAAAAGACCCTGCCACCACCTGGAAGACCCGAAGGTTGGACAAAGACCCTGAGTGCAAGGGAGAGGCCACCCCATGTCAGCTGAGGCCAAGCAGCCTGCCCTGGCCCTCAGCTTGATGGGCACAGCAACAGGGCTCTGCTACCCACTCTCCCTGAGCCTAAAGTTGGATCCTCTTCCCTCCCCCAAAGGCCAGGCAGGAAGGCTAGCCTTCCAGGGTCTGACCTTGGGACTTCGCTAGTGCCCAAGAAAGGGGAGGCCAGTTCCTGCCCTGGGAGCAGCTCAGCCTATGCCAGTGGCTGTTGGTCAGAACTGGTGACACTCTTAGTGCAGGATCTGGGCCCTGCTGCCCTCTGGCTCCCCCTGACACTCAGCCCAAGCTGGAAGAGAGGGACAGTGGCCAGAGGCTCAAGGGCAGTCACAGTGCTGATGCTGACATGGTCCGGCTAGGGCCAGAGGCTCCGGCGTCTAGAATAAAAGTGCATCCTCAAGCACACCACAGGTCCCAAGCCAGGCTTCAACCCACCTTGGATCCTTGGGGTCCTCAAGGTTGACTGCCACCCTTTCCTGTCCCCACTGTCCTAGGAGGGCACTGGAGGGGCCAAAGTGGGGAAACAGCTCTGTGTCTGCTCTCTGCTGCTCCCCTCTCTTCCACCACATTGGTGTAGAGAACATGCAGCCAGCTCCTGACCTAGCCTATCATGGAGCCAGCAGGGGCAGCACCAACCCCACCAGCCAGCCCCTGCCCAAGCCTCCATCTAGATCAGACCTGCATCTAGTGAAGTCTCCATGCCAGACTCTGCTCTTCTATCCTATTTTGGCATCTGATCCTTAGATGACTGGACTGTGTCCCCTCCCTGTCTTAATCTGCTCTTCCTGGTTCAGAAGAGGAACTGGAACTCCTCTGCCAGGAGGTACATGGGGAATCGGCCCCAGTGTCACCCTTGCAGAACACCTGCTCCTGGGAAGACCCAGACCTTCCTGAAGGATGGAGCAAGGACAATGGAAGACAGTGAGAGCACTTGAGGATTCCCAAGGCCCAGGCTCTACCCCCAGAGGGATGAGGGAGCTGGAGGAACACCTGGGTCGAGTCTAAAAATCAGATATGTTCTTTATTGTGATGGCAGTTCTCCCAGCAGAAGCACACGCGGAGTGTCAGATGGGAGCACAGGCCACCCACATCCACTGTCACCCCCACCTGTTCTCAACCACAATAGAAGCCAAACACGGGCCCCTCCCCAGGGAGGGAGGGGTATGAGTGTCAAAAGTCACATGGAGCCCAGTGACTGTCAAGAAAACTCGTGGAAAACAACTGGGGAATAGCCGGAAGCACAGGGCCACAGCAGCCCCTCGTAGCCCAAAGCAGTGGAGGGCCCAGGAGTCCTCAGTCTCCCCACAGGACAGACTGCAGCTGGGTAGGGCTCTGAGTAACGTGAGGGTGCCTGGTGCAGTCTGGAAAGGCCACTGTGGGTTCCCTCCAGAGGAGTGAGGTACCAGCCCTGAGGCTGACCCCAGCTCCCCAGGGCTGCTGAGTGCTGAGTCCCCTCCAGGGTGTTTTCCTCCCCAGCAGAGAGGGGCCAGGAGGACCTGAGGGCTTGACAGGCATCAGTGGGATGTGGGGTGTGTTGTCAGGGGTAGGGCCACCAGTTGGGAAGGGTGGTTGAGAGGTGGTGGCCATGCTGTAGCTTTTTGAGAACAAAATATGGTTCCCCAGCCACTCTGTGCCAGCCAGTCTGGGGCCAATTTCAGGAAAGCGGGACCAGCCGCTGGGAGGAAGTCAGGGAGCCATCAGAGGGCTTGGGGACATCCACAGTCCTGGTGCAGAGCTGCTGGCCCAGCCAGGGGCCCAGCATCCCTTTATTTGCAGTACTCCTTCCGGAACTCTGGAAGTCAAAGGACCAACTGGGGTCTACTCTGCCCTGGCATGTAGTGGAAAACAGAGCAGACACTCAGCAGGACTTCCCAGGACTTTGGAGCTAGTTGGTAATAGTCTCCTACCCTGGGGGCTGGCTAGGGCCCTGCATTCTGGGCACCTGGGAGGGGGCAGCCTGGGGTACGCTGGACTTTGGGCCAGGCTGAAGGTGGGCAGCACTCACCTTTGTCCAGGTCGATGTTCTTGGCAGGCAGGGGGCTGTGGGCCAGCTCAACCCTCTCCTTCAGGATGTTGTTTTTGTAATCTGGTGCATGGAGAGCAAGATGAGGACAACCCCCTCCTCGGAGGCACCCCCAGCGCAGGCCCACCGGTCTGTGCCTGGGTGTCTCAATCCCCTACCTAGTTGGATGTCCTCGCTCCTGTAGGGAGTCTGGTCCCCTGTAGCCACAGCAAACTCTGCCAGATTCAGGTCTTTGCTGGAAGAGGCAGTGGCAGGTTAGAGGGCGCGGGGCGGGGCGGGGCCGGGGCGGGGCGGGGCACTCACCC